GCCTGCGCTGCTACGGGCTGTTCTACACCACGCTTGTATCAGGCACTGTTTATTCTAAGGCAGAAAACACTGTTATTAAAACTCATCCAGTCAGACTGGGACAAAACCCTAGCAGATACAATTTTAAAGTGGTTTAGAAACCACACAGACCAATTCAGCCTAATGGAGCATTAAAATAAATCACTCTAGCACCTTAAGCCAGTTTAAGCGCATCTGTATTCAAGATGTGCATCAGTCTCATCAGACCAGTTTTAAATCAGTCTCGTTATTAAGGCAGTGTGCCAGGTCTGAAGCTGAGTTTGGGGAAACTTGCATTCCCATTAGATTAGTGCTGCAGCCTTCCAGGACTTCTTCCCTACGGTTTCCTTCACAAAGTAACACGTACTTCGCTTCACGACTGGAGGCCGCGAGAGCTGCGTAAAACGCTGTGCTGGCTTGCAACCCCCAACTTGTCTACTTTTACGTTGGTTGAGGATGGACAGCTTTATGAAATGCACCTCAGGCTAACACTCTTCCTACGTGAATCCGTTTCATCGCGTCCTTTGGAGAAGTCAGTATTTCTAGAAGCTCACTTTGGGACTTTTTTCTTAGTTGCATCCAACCTCCGGCCGCTTCGCCTCTCCCGATCGCAGCAGCGACTGCAGCCACCTCGGTGCAACTCTCCCTCGGCTGCCGGGGGGCTCCCGCTGCCTCCGCACAAGCCCTGCACCACTTCAGCCACTGATTTTTCAGGAGCGCGATGCCGGTGATCTTTGGATAAAAGCCACCGGTGGATACAAACACGTGGGTATGAATACGTGCTCCCTAACACTCCAAGCCTATCTGACAGGAAAACAGTTCACGGGAGAAAGCCTGGATTCGGTATGATAACGGGAGACAAAACTTGCGGGAATCGTCGGGAGCCAGGCCAGCCTGTCCATTTGTATCTGCATTTTACGTCCCATCTGTGCCGAAGTTTGGGATGCAACAGGTAAGCTGAACATTACCACACCACGCCTGGCCACAGCAAGCCACCGCAAACAGCAGCCGAAGGGGCTGGTTTGCAGGCGCGATTGCTGCGGAGTCGAATGCAGAACTCTCCCGGAGGCTACGCTGCTAAATCAGGGCACGGCACAAGCTCCAGCTTCTCCGTTAAAACTTCTGCCTGACTTCAGTGACAACTGTGGATTTTCAACCATTTATTTTCCGTGGTTTTAAAAAGCAATCGAGACATCTACATTGCATAAAAAGAATAGAGTAGGTACAATACACATTGAAAGTACAATATTAAGCAAGTTGTGTACTTAAATACAATTTTAATTTTTAAAAAAAAAAAAAAAAAAAATCTGAAATGTTTTACAGCCAACTTTAAATAAGCATTAAACAATGTTGTTAAACTGCATCAGAAGACACTTAAGAGCACCTAAGGATAGCTCCAGAGATACAGTTTCAAAGGCAGAGCTAGCAGATCGGATAATAGAGAGCCCAAATCCTTTGGACAAGGTTCAAACTTATGCAGTTTATGGATATTTTTAAGCCTTAAAGAATCGTCAGCACTTGGAGGTAACGATGCACTTATTCCTACGGAACCAACAGAGACAGTGGACATAAAACAATGTATATTCATAAGGCTACAGGCTGCGAAGCCGCTGCTTATATAAGTCTGCTTATCTTGGTTCCCAGATAGCCGGTGTTATTAGCAGCGCTGTCTTTCTAACAACCCCTCTTTGCAACAAGCAGGATTCCTCAGTTTCCAAGGGCTGCCTGCATTAGAGCCTTTTAAAAAAGGATCAGGCAGTTTTGGTTTGGTTGTTTTTTTTTTTTTTTTAAACTCGCTGTTCAAGAAGGGGAGACAGCACCTGCTGCACGCCTCTCGCAAGTCAGTTTTATTCAGGCACAGCCCACGGTTTTACTTGACCTAGCATTAATGTCAAGTCAACATTTTTGCGATATTTTGATCGCCTGGGACAGGCTCTCGTGCAAAATACCCTCGCTCTATCACTATTTATTTTTTTTTCGTTCCTGGGGGGCAGTAAACAACAACAACAACAACAACAAAATGTAATCCGTGACCCGGAGTGGCAGGATGTGGCATTGTGAACTTCCAATGCCAGAGGCTAAAATATTTTTGCGCTCCAGCCTGAATGTGAGAGCAACAAATTAGCATGAGTCATATCTTGAACACTCCGTTCGATGGATGATTCCTCCTCACATTAACAGATACAACTTTCACTTCCCGAGCAGATACTAAAAGCGGTTTTCAAACTATGCATTTCAGGGACTAATAATATCCAAACGAGAGATGCTTATTCGGTCTCACAATTGTTTCTTTAAAAAGATACAATTCATCCAAATGCCACCTAAACACAATCAAACAACTTTATTTGGAAAGAGCAATTGACAGTCACACATCCCAGCGCTAGCGGGGCTAAAAGCAAGACGTTGCGACCTCCTCTAAAAACAGTTTGCTAAAAATCACAACTTCACCCCCCCGCATATTAAACTGCCCCTTGGAAACCCT